GTTTTTATCAGCCTTAAAAAAGTTCATGTCAGCATTACATCATGTACATGTTAACTCTCATAAATTTTTGCTACACATTTTAGAATAAAAAAAATTTCTGTCATTTATTTTTAAGGTGTTAGAGGCAGTCTCTAAAGTGTTTAAAGGTGTACAAATTCAATATCTTTAAAGAAAATAATTTATAGTATGGTACTTTCAATAGGGTATTTTAGTACTTTCTATGTAATAAACCTTTATATATTTTTTTAAATTTTTAATATTGAATCTTACATAAACCCTAACCCTAAATTTTCGTAATCATTAAAACCGTTTGTTTTGGTTTAAATTTTGTTTGTATAAACAATATATGTGATGAATCTAATCTAAAGAAGAGAAAATAAGTTAAATTAGGAAATCGGGTAAAAATGCAAAGAAAAAATCTAATTAAGTTTGATTTATGAAAAATAGGTAAAACAAAAAACTTATAGTTTGAAATTTGGAATAAACTTAACTAAACTTGAAGGTTTATTTTTTGTATTAAACGGGTTTAAAGAGTTTTTTTTTTTTTTTTAAATTATAAAGAGGTGTTCTTCGCAAATAAGATAACAATTGTCAACATTTTTTCAGAATTTCCCTTAAACCTCTCTAATATGAATTTAATGTTATTTTTACAACTCCAAATGTGAAGTAAGTCTGTATTGGTTCTTATTGATGAACCTAATACTTGAAATTCAGCAAATCTGTATTTTTATTGTCTATTTCTTAAAAATATTTTTTATTGTTTTCATTTTTAAATACTATTTTAGAAAATTGTAATAATTATATTTATTTTTTGAAATAAAAAAATCAAACTTTATTTGAAACAAAAAAAATATAAAAAGATATAGTAAATTTTAAATTAATTTCATGTGTAATGAGATATTGTGACTCGCTTTTTTATTTGTTCTCATGTGAAATTGTATGTATTAGAAAACTATTTAATAAAAAATAGAATTTGGACTCATATTAGAATTAGAATATTTCATATCCTACCATAAATATAGGAATAAGAACAAATTCAAAGTTAGAGGAATATGAAAACACATGGTATTTGATGTAAGGGTTTATTAAACTCATGGGTAAGTGTCTTAAAAACTGAGTGTTTCCTTCTAGGCACTAGTGATGGCAATACCGAGCCGGGACCGGTTCCCCTTGGCCAGGCCCAAGCCCACCTCATGACCCAGGCCCAGCCGGCCGAGCCTGCTACGGGTATATAGGCAAAGCCCAAGCCTGGCCCAGAGTTTTTTATAACCGCAGGCCCAACCCACCCTCCTTTTTAATAATGTTTATTTTTAAATATTAAAATTTCAATTTTTTTTTATATTTTAATTTTGAAATGGTTTTTAAATATATTGAAGCTATTTCCGTAAATAATTTAAGCAATAAGTGAGCAATTAAAACTCCATAATATTGATTATACTAATTTTTCAGCTGGCATAATATTTATGGTGAAATTCACTTTAATAATTGAACCAACCCATCTAACTCATTTAAGACAATTTTAATATGTTAACCTTCAATATGGGATGAAAATTGAGGTTAAGGTTTAAGAAAAATGGATATATATATATAATTATATATATTATATATATATATATATATATATATATATATATATATTATATAGGATAATATTGAATAATATATAGTATAAGGGTAAATTAGTAAAATTAATACTAAAATTTTCGGGACGGGACGGCCTAAAATATACCCATGCATCCCGTACCCGAGGTCGGGCCTTAAAATCAAGCCACGCCCAAGCCAAGCCCACCAACCTCTGGTAAAGCCCGTCCCTTTCAGGCCAGCCGGCTGGGTACCAAAAATGTCGGGTCATTGTCATCTCTACTAGACACTAGGTTCAATGAGGTTGAAAACTACGATTGTTTCCGCTTTATTAACTATGAAACTATATGGAATCTTACATCTATGGTGTAAACGAGTTATGTCAAATCACATAAATATCGTGTCTCTTTATGGAGTGACTTTATTCCTATATATTAATCTCAAATGTATATTTTCTGTTATGCCTCTCCTAACACTAATATTTAAAACACTTTACAAACTTATCACACATACGTTAATTTTGAAACTTTAGGGATCCCTTAGCAATCATAAAATTTATTTTTTTTACCCTCATATTTGTCATAATAGCAAATTCGTCATAATTCTCATCAAGAACGGAAGATATTACTTTAGAAAAATTTCGAGGTTCAATAGTTGATTCAAGTTGGCATGTGTTTACTTATTTCTATACCACAAAAATCCAATAAATTTAAAGATTGGTAACTTCCTGTAAAATTTTTACCACTGTAATTGGGATGATCGACTTCCTACTATCGGTTTGACTCTTGGAATTTGACCAGCCACAATAAAGGAGTTTCTTCGTTGTGGGTCTTGTTAAAGGGCTCGATAGCGCAAACAGTGCACTCCATGAGTCAAAGAGCTCATTTTCATAGGGTTTGGGCGTCTAAGGAAGTCGGTGGTTAGAATCAAGTGTGGGAATGGGAATGAAAACTGTTGCGAGTAGAGGAATTATGGAGCAAAATGGCGACAAACAACAGAAACACAAAGGATATCGCTTGGATAAGTTTTGTAATGGAGATAATTGAGAAGGTCTTAGAAAGATGGCTCCAATCGGTATTGATTCTGGCCATAGCACAGAAGAAGCAGGAGGAGGAAGAATATGTACTTTTTATGCATACATATAAACCATTATTATCTCTACACTTTGCTTTTAAGAATTCTGTTTTGTTCCTCAATACTACAGTTTTATGATTACAGAATTTAACTTATAAAGAAGGTTAGTTTTCTAATAAAGCATCAGACAATATTTTTCTAGTAGTTTTTTATGACACAATACAACTGTTTTCCCACCAATTGAAGAGGGGATTTCTTGTTTCTTCATGAATGGTCTTTGACCTACTCAGATAGGCAACGTGAGCTTTTTGCTATTTTCAGGGCTTGGTGAGGGGGGACGCTCACTATTGCCAGCGTACCAACCGAACATCGCGCTAGCTCACGAGCATCGCCAGTGCATCCTAGCCGCATCACAAGGTTCAGAGGTACCCTGGTAGTTATGCTGTAACGCTATCCCTCCGTCCGCGCTAACACACCACTCTGCTTCTTGTGCGACCCCTCGGATGAAGTGGTGTGTCGTGAGTGGCAATACAGAGATGGAGTAGGGAATAGAATAAAAAGACGGCAGAGGGGAGGGAAGAAGGAACGTTTCCAAGATAAAGAAGGGAAGGCTGGCTGCGGAGCGAAGACAGAGGGAGTGGGAGCTGATGGACTGGCATCCATTAGGGTGACACGAGGCGGTAGTCTCAGCATCATGAAGATGGAAGTATGGTAGGGTCTTGAGAGTACGAAGGTATACTAGGTACATCCATGTGCACGATTGAGCAACACGTACACCCAAAACAGTCGCATGCTAATTAGTATACAATTTGTGAATGGACCTGGTCAAAGAAAGGCTACGTACGCAACAAATTGCGTGGTGGGGTTTATGCACTGTTACAGGGATGGCGAGGCATCAACGGGGATTTCTTCTCGGGAAATATCGCATGTCGCTGTTCTCACCAGCGGAAGTGCGTCTTGTCTGTAATTATTAAACATACCAATACCACATCAGTCATTCTCTCTTCCAAAGGATGCAGAATTCAGATAAGATACAAATAAACAAAATTTTGCTTTGTTGTTTATGCATTGTAAGTATCAATCATTATTCTTTAGCTTTAACGTGAATGCCCACATTGAGAATATCCATATATCTTCTCCTTTGACAGAGAGGAAAACTCTCAGTTGACAAATTAAAGCTCTCCACACAATTTTGCTCTACATTCCGCTACATGATGCTAACTTCAGGGCAATTGACACAAGCTGGCATTACATTCAATTTTAACGTGATGCATGTACTGGAGAATTGTGAGCATGAAGTCAAAGAGAACTGTTAAAGTGAAGACTAAAACGGTGCAGTTTTTGAGCCTAAATGAAACGCTGCACTTTGATATTTCTCTAATGCGCTCCTAGTCGTTGGATCAAATCTGATCTGATGGCTGAGAGGTGCATTAAGTCAACACTATAAAAGAGGCACGGCACAGTAAAATATAGCTGCATTTTTTGTCTCTGATTGAAGAACCCTTACATCGTGCAATTTCTCTGTTTATAGGTTTAAGATTAATCTTTTACTAGTGTGATTGAGTGTTTGTTAGTCATTATGGAGGGCTTCTTTGCTCTTGTTCTTGGGGATTCCAGGTGAGTATCTCTAGGATTAGTTACTATTAAGATTGATTGTAATTAGTGAGAGTGGATTGGATTTGTACTTGTTCTTGGTTGAATCTTGATAATAAGTGGTGCAGCGAGCTCTCCCATTTCCTGAGCTCAACGTGGAACTAACTTATCTAATTTCGATAAGTGAACCACAGTAGATTCTTGTTTTTTCTTTGGGGCGTGTGTGATATATTTTCTTTGACTTTTGTAGTTTAGTTTCAACAAGAACTTCCATAACTCCGGAATTAAACTTTAACATATGTTGACTCCACATACAAAAAGAAAAGAACCAAACAAAAAGATCACATAAGCATGAGGAAGGTATGTGATGCAAATGGGAAGATAATATATAAAAAAATAGGACTCCCTGTTCAAACAATAAATTGTCAGACTTAATTAACTCTTAACATTTCTTTAACAAATTTCATATTTCTAAAAACTACAAGTGGAGCAAATAAGAAACAGAGCATACTAATTAGGAAACACAATTTGCTAGAGAGAAAGTGCTAATTAAGATACATTATCAATTCAAACTGAAACAACTAGAATAAGAAGCACTTACTTCACCAGGCTGCTGGATGCCAGAATAGTTTGATATAGGCTTAAATGCACCATTATTGAAGTCCCACATCCAGTGTCCTGCCCAGGGTAATCCTCATCTAATCTATCAGCCGCATAATAAGTGCAAGCCCCTTTAAATCCTCGGAACTCCTTCACCGAAACAGAAAATGTACAACTAATTTCCCTCCCACAAACAATACTCTATCTACCAAGTCTGATCCATCCACCACCCTAACCCACTTCCTCTTCTTCTCATTAAGCTTAAAAACTCCAATATAATACTTATCTTCATCATCATTGTCCTCCTGGTATCGAACTACCAAAAACAAATCATTAAATGACCCTACCAAATATAGCACCGAAAATCTCCCATTGAACCATAGGTCTGCCGCAACTTGAGTAACAATCAGAGATTTAGGATCCACAGTTACAGAACAACCCTTGGGTGACACAGCATAAAACTTGTCATTATAATAAATAATATCCTCAAAAGATTCATAAAACAGAAGTCCTATATCTATATGACTCCATTTCTGGTCCATATTTCTCCACATTCCCAGTTTACTTTGACCATCGTAACTCGCCATAACAGCAAACTCATCATCATGCTCATCGAAAAAAGAAGAAAAAACCACTTTTGAAAAACTAAATCCAACAGTTGAGTCAAGTTCATAAAATTTACCTATTTCTGTGACCCGATAATCCAATAAATTTAAAGACTTTGGTAACTTCTCGGATAATTTTTTACAATCTTTAACACTTATTGCGTCAATGATGTTGAATCTACCAGTGTTTGACTCGTGGATTTCGACCAGCCACGTTTGAGGAGTGTCTTCGTCCTGGGTATTGGAGATTCTGTTGAGGGGTTCAATGTAGTAAACAGTGGACGCCGTGAGGTTAAAGACGTCATTTATATTAGGGTTTGGGCCTTTGAGGAAGTCGGTGGTGGTGAGAATGGACTGTGGGAATGGGTATTGTATTGGAGGAGGAGGAATTGTGGCGCGAAATGAGCTGCAAACGGCGCGCAAACGAAGGATATCAATTCGTGCTGGGAGAAGTTTAACGATGGAGAAGAGGATGTCTTCAGAAATTCTGCTCCAATCGGGTTCGATTCCGCCCATGGCAAAGGAAGAACGGGAGAAAGAAAAAGACTAAAGCGAAGAGAAGGTTTAGGTCTTCTTGAAACAGTGTCTGTAATTGTAATGGGGATTTAGTATTTAGAAACGGAGGGGTGTCCTGTAACAATTGCAAACTTGTGACACAAACATATTTTGAACCTTTTGGGGGTAATTAGTGATTTGCCTCCTTTCTGAAAATCATTTTCTATATTGTTTCTTTATTTAAAAAATTACTTATTTTTTCACTCTAAATATTCAACTGACAAATAAATTATTAATAACGCATTTTATATCTTTTATGAAGAGAGTAACAATTGTTGGTATTTTTCAAGAATTTTCCATAAATCTGTATGAAATAAATAAACTTTTTTAAATTAATTCTAGATGTGAAGTAATTTCAGTGTCTTATCAATGAACCCAAATAGGTAGGATGTGTTTGGTTTTGGAAATGTTATATTACTGAGAAATATTATCTTACTAGAAAGATAGATTACTAACAAATCTTTAGATAAATGTGTTTGGTTTGTTAGAATAAATTGGTAGATACGTTATAATAATATGTTTGGTTGAGAGGATAAATGAGTCGGTATGTTATATAGATTAATAAATTGTCTTCCTTTTTAAATAATAATATAATATTATTTTTATTATTATTTTATTCTATTATTTTTTAAATTAATTCTTTTAACCTCCTATATTTGAAATTCTATTAAAACACCTCAACCATATAAAACTTTAATTTATAGCAAAATCACCCCCACCCACCTCAAGCCACTGCCAGCAGCCGTTGTAATGGTGCACAATTGGCCAGATTTGGCTGGTCGTGCACCGATAAGGCCTAATTCGATCATGGATCTTTGATCCATGGCCAAAAACGGCTAGAGTTGGCCGTGAATATGGCTGTTTCACATCCATTTCACAGCTAAAGATCTAACATTTTTATGGCTAGATCTATGGCGTTTTATGACTAGATTTATGGCGTTTCACGGCCACATCTTTGGCCTTGAAACGATTGAAAACTTCCTTCCCAACAAGATCCCGCGGGTTTTGTGCTGATATGACGACTTTTGTTGGCAGCCAGCGGTGGTCTTGGGTGGTTGGAGGTATTTTATTAACTTTTAAACTTTTTTTGTGGTAGAGGTGTTTTAGTTAAATTCTCAAATGTAGAAGGTCTGGGCTAATTGTTATTTGGTAGACATATAAGGGCAAATGTATTCGAAATGATAAAAGATTAAGGGCAAAATAGAGTCAAAATTAAGATTACCTTAGTAATCTTATATTAACACCTCTTGGGAAGGTAATATGTCAATATTACCAACAGTAAACCTTATTTTCTATAAAAGATTATACAATATTTTATTATTTGATAATCAAACAAGAGAATCTTGAAAATTAAACAAAAATTATAGGATTAATCTTATATCACCTCGAACCAAATGCAACCTTAAGGATTGTTCTTTTTCATTTCAGTTTTTGTTTTCTGTAATTTGTTTACTTAATAAGGGTTACCTAAATTTGTTCATAAAAATGATGAGTTTAGAAAATCAGAATTTTTAAGGCTTAAAATCCAAAATTGAGAATATTTTTTTTATTATTTATTATTTTGTGTGTGTGTGTGTGTGTGTGAGTGTGTGTGTGTGTGTGTGTGTGTGTGTGTGTGTGTGTGTGTGTGTGTCAATGTGATGCCTAGAAATTGATGAAAGATGAAAAGAATATTTATAAAATATTTTATATGATAATTTGTATTAAAAAAGATAAGGAATATTGAAAACCTTGCATTAGGAGGTCGATTGTCGTGTTTATTGCAGGAAGTGAAGCTGGTGAATCGAAGGTGCATGAAGTCTATTAGGTGCTACAGATCTTCTAATGGTTATGGGAAAATTGAGGAGTGAGATTTGTTCTTCATCAAATGTGGTGTTGAACAATATTTGTTGAGCTTGAAGAGAGGCAAGCCCCTATGTGTGAGAAACTTTCAATTTTAATTAAGGTATGAACTGCACTATTATAGTTTTTATCAGCCTTAAAAAAGTTCATGTCAGCATTACACATGTACAGTTAACTCTCATAAATTTTTGCGTACACATTTAGAGTAAAAAAAATTTCATGTCATTTATTTTTAATGGTTTAGAGGTCAGTCTCTAAAGTGTTTAAGGTATGTAAAATTCAATATCTTTAATAGAAATAATTTTAGTATGGTACTTTCAATAGGGTAGTTTAGTACTTTCTAATGTATTAAACCTTTATATATTTTAAATTTTTAATATTGAATCTTAATAAACCAACCCTAAATTTTAATCATTAAAACCGTTTGTTTTGGTTTAAATATTTGTTTGTATAAACAATATTAATGTGAGAATCTGAATCTAAGAAGAGAAAATAAGTTAAATTAGGAAATCGGGTAAAAAAAGTGCAGAAAAAATCTAATAAGTTTGATTTATGAAAAAGAGTGTAAACAAAAACTTAATTAGTTTGAATTTGGGAAAATAAACTTAACTAAACTTGAAGGGTTATTTTTATTAAACGGGTTTAAAGAGATTTTTTTTTTTTTTTAAATTTAAAAGAGGTGTTCTTCGCAATAAGATAACAATTGTCAACATTTTTTCAGAATTTCCCTTAAACCTCTCTAATATGAATTTAATGTTATTTTTACAACTCCAAATGTGAAGTAAAGTCTTGTATTTGGTATCTTATTGATGAACCTAAATACTTGAAATTCAGCAAATCTGTAATTTTATTGTCTAATTTCTTAAAAATAATTTTTATTGTTTTCATTTTTAATACTATTTTAGAAAATTGTAATAATTATTTTTAATTTTTGAAATAAAAAAATCAACTTTTATTTGAAACAAAAAAAAATTATAAAAGATAAGTAAATTTTAAATTAATTCATGTGTAATGAGATATTGTGACTCGCTTTTTATTTGTTCTCATGTGAAAGTATGTATTAGGAAAACTATTTAATAAAAAATAGAATTTAGGACTCATATTAGAATTAGAATATTTCATATCCTACCTATAAATATAGGAATAAGAACAAATTCAAAGTTAGAGAGAATATGAGAACACATGGTATTTGATGTAAGGGTTATTAAACATCATGGGTAAGTGTCTAAAAACTGAGATTGTTTCCATTCTAGGCACTAGTGATGGCAATGGCCGGCCGGGACCGGTTCCCCTTGGCCAGGCCCAAGCCCCGACCTCATGACACAGGCCAAGCCGGCCGAGCCGCTACGGGTATGATAGGCAAAGCCCAGCTGGCCCAACGGTTTTTTATAACCGCAGGCCCACCCAAGCGCCTTTTTTAATAATGTTATTTTTAATATTAATAAATTTCATTTTTTTTATATTTTTATTTTAGAAATGGTTTTTAAATATTAATTGAAGCTATTTCCGTAAATAATTTAAGAATAGAGCAATTAAAACTCCAATATTTGATATACTATTTTTCAGCTGTGCATAATATGTTAGGTGAAACTTTAATAAGTGAACCAAACCCATCTAACTCATTAAAGACAATTTATATGTAACCTTCATATGGGATGAAAATTGAGGTAAGTTTAAGAAAAATGATATATATATATATATATAATATATATATTATATATTATATATATATATATATATATATATATATATAGGATAATATGTGAATTAACTATATAGTATAAGGGTAAATAGTAAAATTAATCTAAAATTTTCGGGACGGGACGGGCCTAAGATATACCCATGCATGGCCGTACCCGAGGTCGGGCTTAAAATCAAGCCCAGGCCCAAGCCCAGCCCCAACCTCGGTAAAGCCGCCCTTTCAGGCCAGGCCGGGCTGGTACCAAAAATGTCGGGTCATTGTATCTCTACTAGACACTAGGTTCAATGAGGTGAAAACTACGATTGTTTCCGCTTATTAACTATGAAACTATAGTGGAATTCTTACATCTATGGATGTAAACGAGTTATTCAATCACTAAATAGTGTCTCTTTATTGGAGTGACTTTATTCTATATTATTAATCTCAAATGTATATTTTCTTTATGCCATTCCTAACAACAATATTTAAACACTTTACAAACTTATCACACATACGTTAATTTTGAAACTTTAGGGATACCTTAGCAATCATAAATTTATTTTTTTTTTACCCTCATATTTGTCATAATAGCAAATCGTCATAATTCTCATCAAGAAACGAAGAGATATTACTTTAGAAAAATTTCGAGGTTCAATAGTTGATTCAAGTTGGCATGTGTTTACTTATTTCTATAACACAAAATCCAATAAATTTAAAGACTGGTAACTTCCGTAAAAATTTTACCAACGTATTGGGTGAATGATCCGGACTCTATCTGGGTTTGACTCTTGGAATTTGACCAGCCACAATAAAGGAGTTTCTTCGTTGTGGGTCTGTTAAAGGGCTCGATAGCGCAAACAGTGCACTCCATGAAGTCAAAGAGCTCATTTTCAAGGGTTTGGGCGTCTAAGGAAGTCGGTGGTTAGAATCAAGTGTGGGAATGGGAATGAAAACTGTTGCGGAGAGAGGAATTATGGAGCAAAATGAGCGACAAACAACAGAAAACAAAGGATATCGCTTGGATAAGTTTTGTAATGGAGATGAGAATTGAGAAGTCTTAGAAAGATGGCTCCATCGGTATTGATTCTGGCCGCACAGAAGAAGCAGGAGGAGGAAGAATATGTACTTTTTATGCATAACATATAAACATTATTATCTCTACACTTGCTTTTAAGAATTCTGTTTTGTTCCTCAATACTACAGTTTTATGATTACAGAATTTAATTATAAAGAAGGTTAGTTTTTAATAGAAGCATCAGACAATATTTTCTAGTAGTTTAGTTATGACACAATACAACTGGTTTTCCCACCAATTGAAGAGGGGATTTCTTTGTTTCATGGATTTGTCTACTCAAGAATGATGTCAATAAAAACTGCTGCACCTTTACTAAGTCAAGAGTTTCATTTCCAATAAGTTTAGTCTTTTTAGCAAATACTT